ACACACATGGGTGTTTGTGCGTGTACGTATATGTATATACAGTCGCAACCATGATTTCAAGTCGGTAATGCTTAACCAGACCTTCACTAACTTAGAAAAGTATCCTCCTCAAAAGAGCAGTTTGTGCAACTTGACAAATCAGACCATAAACATGTTTTAAATGAATTCAGTTCAAATGCTTTAACAAAGTACAAACCCTCCAGTGTGACGGTTTAGTCTACATGACTTGTATCGACTTTTATTATTTTCTGTGGTAATCAGCAGCATGCTTGAGTGGTATTTAACATAGAATGTACTTTTAACTAGGCAAGGAGAATAAGTGTTGAAGCTTCATTGAAAATAAAAAGGTTGCTCAAGGCTTTTAGAGTCGAAAGTTATCTTTGTTTCTTTCTCTCTTCTCTCTCTTTCTAAAGGCCCTGAAGGAGCAAACTTGTTCATCTACCATCTGCCACAAGAGTTTGGTGATCAGGATTTGCTACAGATGTTTATGCCTTTCGGCAGTGTTATCTCTGCCAAGGTCTTTATTGACAAACAGACCAACCTTAGCAAGTGTTTTGGTGAGTTGAGCCCCGCTTCAGAAACATTGTGCTCGTTTTGTCTTGATTTTTTGAATCCTGAAATCAGATACAAGGCTTGGATGTACATTCTGTGCAGTGGGTAACGAGAGTCTGGTTCTGTTCTTTTTTTAGGCTTTGTTAGTTATGACAATCCAGTTTCGTCCCAGGCAGCCATTCAGTCAATGAACGGTTTTCAGATTGGAATGAAGCGACTGAAGGTGCAACTTAAGCGATCCAAAAATGACAGCAAGCCATACTGAGTCATTTTACTCTCAAATGGACTTGGTTTAAAAAAGTTTTTCTGGTAAGTGGAGTGTGACGTTGGAAAGTTAGAATGACCCCACCCACCCTTAACACCCGCCTTTCCTAATCCTTCTTTTACTTCTCTGGCCTTTCCTACTGGCCTTCTCTCTTAACCTTCAAAACAAAGACAACACACAAATTAAGAATTTGTTCCTATGAGAAAAGATTTCTTTTCTTTTTTTTCACATTTATATATCTAATTGTTTTGTTGATCTTTTATTATCCCTTAAATCTTTTATTTTATTTATTATTGTGCCATATTACAAGTTTGCTGTGTATAAATCTTGAATCAAAGGATGTTGCACAATGAAGGCCAGCCTGTGTGACCGCTTTCAGTCACTTAGACTGTTAATCACCACTGCTCTGGCCCCTGTAGATGTTCTCCTGTGTTTACACTAGACTCTTGTAGTACATTGGGACAGTGTAATGCTGATGCCTCCTACAATGCTGCCTTTCTAGAAAATGAAGGAGGCTTGCTGCATCGGTGCAAAAGATAATCAGTCACCTGAATATTGTTTTGAGCATCTGGAAGTTCAGGCTGTTTTCATGGATGCCTTTTTATTTAATTCATGTATTTATTTCACTAATTTATTTATTTATTTTTCATGTATCTGTGTCTTCACAATGAGGGTGATGTAACATTGCTTCAAAGTCTGTTTTATGTATTCTGTTGGAGGGCTCGGCTAACAACAGTAATGTAGATGCTTTCTGTTTGCTTTTATTCACATGAATATTTTGACATTCTAGAAAGACAAACACTAAGCAAGGGTATTATATCACACATATTATATCATTCAGTATTGGTAGTTTGCAGGAGATGCTACACTTAAGCTCAGGACATTCTCACCGTTCTGTCAGACCAAAACTTCTTGCCCATCATTTTACTCACCTGGTACACGAAAATACCTAAAGAATATGTATGAAAGAGTGCTTCATTTCAGTTCATGAATCCTTTCTTAAAGCCTCAAAGAAAAACAAAACATTTTTTTGACCCAAGATTTTTATTCTTTGGAAATTGCTGAAGAATCACGTGGTAGCGCGTATGGTTTTAAAATGGCTTTTGTATAGATTATTTTTTTTTTTAAACAAAGACACAATCTACAACGCTCGTTTTTTTTAAATTTATTTTATTTTGATGGTCGTTTGATACATTATCCTACGCCTCAATTCAAGAGGTTGGCATTGAAGCTTTTAGCAATATTTGCATTCTGGAGAAGAGAGATGATACTGCCAAGAACAGAAGGAAGGAAGTTTACAATTGCTGAATTCATAGCCACTTAATTGTCAGAATAATTTGAACTGAAATTTCGTAACGTTTGTCAAGTATTTTATCTCGGTGTTCGCAGGTGGTCTCTTGTACCCTGGTGTATTGAGACTCGTCCTGCAATCCTCATCACACTTTGTATTTATAAGTTACTCCATGCAACTTGTTTTAGTTGATCATGGCAGTAAATAAGTGTTCAAATTGTAATCGGATGTTGATGCTAATCTGAATCCTGCAGGGTCGTGAGGTGAGATTGTTTTTATGGAAACTGAGAAGAAAACATTATCCAGATAGTGTATATTACTTAACTATTATGCCTTTTCTATTTTTATAGAGGTTTTATAATATTGCCTAAATCATTTCTCTGAATTAAAACGGTTGTTTAAAAAAAACCAACTCAAAAGATTCGACAGTGTTTTTGTAGAATCCTAACGTGTAGATTTGTGGATACATTCAACGGATGTGTGGCCCTTTTCACTAGTTGTAGTCGTCCGTTTAGTCAAAAAAATAATAATTGTACCAAGAGTTGTTTTTAAATTCTGAAGCAAATCCACGGTTCAGTCTAAAGTTTATACTCCGTGTAATATCTCTAAACTATTTACATGTGTAGTGACGAATGCTGAAATGTGCTATTATCAGAAATCATTCGTTTAATTTTCTCACAAAGCTTGAGCTCGGAGTTGCAATTAGTGAAAATTTTATTTTATTTTTTTTTAGGCTATTTTCTTTTGTTTTGACATTTACCTCACTATTGTCGTCACTGTTCAACACGCTTTGTATTTATTAACGGTGCTTTTTATTTTCACGGATTAATTGCAAATAAGCCAATTCTTGTTAACCTCACAATCGTTCTATTTTCAACGAGTACAGACGCGCATCTCAATCCAGGTGAGGAAACGAATTTGCCGCTATTGCGATTTGTACAGATATGCCGGTCTGTATGCCTCACCGTTTGTTTCATGCACTAGAGACGCTTTAGACTGAACCCAAGTGTGAAGCCCCTCTTGAAGCACTTAGATGCTAGTGCAGGGAATGGCCAGTCCCTGATCTGTGCCTCTGTTCAAATAAACGCATGATTTACGTGCATTACAAATCATTAAGTGGAAGAAAAATGGGAAGGCCTCGGACATGTCTGAGTGCAAAACAAATCACCATTTTGACCAATCCAAAGATTCTTGTGAACTTGTTCTAGGCAGGGATTTTTGTTTGTTAGGCAGAATTTTTTTCCTTCCAGTTTTGTTTCTTTTATCCAGAGTAGATTGACTGGCGTTTGTGCAAAGTTCTGCAGATTTGTGCGCCTTAAAACAGCTCACAAATGCAGAGTAGTTCCACTAATGTGCCAAACACATCAAGTCTTAAATTTCTGTATATGTTTAATGATGATCCTCTGTTCCTCGCTCTGTGTCCCATCATGTTGTTGTTCAATGTAGCTAAATTGTTTCCGTTTGTGTTACCCATGGCAGGTGTTTTGTGATTGAGAACCAATATGAGCAGCTCCAAATATGCATTATTCCACAGTCCCACACAATTCAAAATTGAAGCACAAAATAAAAGGACTTTCACTGAAAGAGCTGAAACATTAAAGCACAATTTTTCTTTTGGGTTCTCTCTCTCTTTTCCTTGGTCTAAAATCGAAATGTGGTTGTGAGAAATTGAATATTGAATTGTCTCTGTTGAGGACAGTGTTGTCGTAGCTGTAGTAGGCAGGTTGTGTTGTCTCTCGGTGTTGTTGTTGTTTAATGTTATTCCCTTTGTTCACTATTGGCATGGTGCTTATCTCTTCCTCTTTCTTCCCACTTTTCTTCATCGTTTCCTGTGTTGCATTCAATGTTTTGTGTTTAGATGACGTGTGCACCTTTGAAATCCCTCTCCTCGTGCAAAAATAATCATTCATGATTTTCTTTTTCATCCCCTCTTTTTTCCGTTGTGCTTTAACCTAGGTTTGTTATTCGTTTTTTTTTGTTTTTGTTCTAGATATCTTCGTGCCGTTTGTCATCGTTTGCCTAGCATGTCGATGTGACGTCAAAAGTTCATCGTCCAGTCCGTTGTCCTCTTCGCTTCTCTGACGCTTGAAATTTCACACTTGACCTTTTTGTTAACTTTTGACGCTTATTGATTACTTATTTTGTTTGTTTCTTTGTGTGATGTTCATTTGTCATTTGTGCTGCCAATAGAGAGCGTTAGAAAGACTGCTAAAAGTGTAAAAAGTTTCATGAAAATTGTTCTGAGCAAAGAGTCTATTTTTCTAGAACGTACAAATATAACCACTAGATTTTTGCAGAAGTTTTTAATTTTCGTTTCATTTTTCCGATTTTTTTCTGTATTGATTTTTATCGTTTAAGCAGTCTTCCTAACGCTTCTAATTGTACTCCTTTTTGATTGTTTTTCTTCTCAAAGCAGCCATTCAGTTTATAGAATCACTTGTGTGTTCAAAGTGTTGGGTGTGTTTCCCTCTTTCTCTCACTTGTTAGTTCTAAAACTTTTAGAGGATGTTTTCGTCACATTTTGCTGAAATCGAGGATAAACTTTGTAATTTTGTGTTAGGTTAGTTGGCATGATGTAATTTTGGGAGTTTCTATTAACAGAGTGACATTACAATAGACACTTGAATTGCCTTTTTTCTTTGTGTCGAGCCAACACAGGCACGTGTTTTTCATTTCCTTATTGTGTGAAAATCAGGATTAGTCTGAAATAATGCATAGAATGAGCAGTTGAATTTCTTGTCACAGGTAAATATTAAGCATGCGTGTTTTTTTTTGTAAGTGCACTGAAATCCTCAGCAAAATGTGATCTAGTTCTGTTTCAAAAAGTCAAGATGAATAAAGTGGTGCCAAAAGTTTCGCATGTTGCTGTTGGTTACATTTTCAGTATGTTTCACATCATGCTTATGGCTCCTGCTACAATGACATGTGGTCTCATTTTGATAGTTAAGTTTAAGATTTAAAAAACAATACAATGTGTGTTTAGGTTATGGGTTAGAGTGTTTTAACTATGTATTGTTATAAAAATTGAAGTGTGTTTCAAATGAGTCCTTAGGTATAAATTGATTGTGCCTACAACAGCAAAAACATATGCTCTTCTTGAGATGTTGTTCAGTTAATGAAAATGTGTTACAACCATACAGTTGGTTTGTTTTACAGAGCTTGCAAGCGTTTTTTTCCCTTTCCCATTCTGACTTCTATATCAGTTGTGAAGTTCTGGACTGACTGGTAGAGCTCAACTGAAGCTTCGCCCTCTTAGCCTTTCATTTAAAGGCATGTCTCCATGAATGAAGAGCTACATTTGGAAGTCTTTTCTTTTTAAAGATGTATTCTGACAGACTAATCTAATTGGGGGTTGAGGTGGTTGTTTTCTATTTAGATTTTAAGCTGCTGTTTTGTGAGTTTAAATGTACTCTGAGAAATTTTCCTGTGGGATGTTTGTCATTACTGGTACAGAGTGATTGTATTTAACATTTAAGATTTGTACAGATTTTGCCTTTTCTACTTCATAAGCTGTTTCACAATGTAAATCCCAGTAAGTAGAAGCATGTAAGACAGTAACACCATGACCAAACATCAACCTGTACAAAGTAACCAAACAAATGCAAACTCCACAAAACAGCCTTTAACTGAATTGTATTTTTTTTTTTTAAGTTTTGTCATTCAATTTGTGTGGTTCTCATTGGAAGTGTAGCGAGTGCAGAATTTATTAAATGTCTGAAATGTGTTGTATAAGGTTAAGGATTTCATGCTACTGTCTACAGAAATATAGCAAAATGGACACCCATGAAGCAGTCATCTGGTAGTTTCTTTATGTATGATTAAACTGTTTGAAAACATTCACACACATTGTGTTGGAATTCATTTTTTTCCTCTGAATGTAAAGATGCCAGAAATGCACACCATGCTTCTGTTTTTTTTTATTTAAATGTGATTTTAGAACTTGTTCCATTAAATTAAACTTCACTACTCATTGTACTTAAATTTTATTTAATCTAGCCAGTGCTATAAATAAATATGCAATAGCTGCTGCTGTGGTCGAATTTGTTGTAATTGATTCGTTATAGGCTAGCCATAAACCAATCAAATGCAATATTTGTACACAGTTGTTCAAGTTATTGTTTGCTTGTGGAGTCATGTATTCAGCAAACTCAAAGCATGAAAAAGTTGAGAGCTTGCAACAAATGAAAACATTCAGTAGCCTTTTCCTTTTACGGTCTTATCTGCAATATTACATTAATGAAGAACTGCGACAATTCAAACTTCACATCTGTTAAGACACTTTTTTTTTTAATGCACTTGAGCTTATGACCAAGTTATGAAAAAATACATGGTAGTTGCAGTTGTCACATCAACAAGGTAGTCATTGTCATCTTTATATGACAAAAGTTAGGGAGACCATATATTGAACTACACTGGTAGCTCAAGTGCCACAGCGGTAGGTAGAAAAGAGCTGATTTACAAAACCGTAGCGTTTCTGTCCATCAGTCCTGCCACTGTTCGGCAGGTAAGTGTCAGAGTTTACTATGGTCTTTGGAGGGGTTGTCCACATCTGTACCGCAGAGAGGAGACAGGTGGTTGTACTTGGGTGTGATGTTCATTTGGACAGTTATTGAATATGGATCCTGACCGACGAGCCGGTGCAGGTTTGTGCTGTCCTGCTGGAGCTCTTCAAGACTTTTCTCAGTTTTCATCACACCACCACTCCTTCCAGAAGGGTCCACTTTTTCCGGGTACAGAGCATCCCCTATGTATTAAAGAAGAGAAACTTTGTCTGATAAAGAGGTGACCATTGCCAGAAATGTCTTCATTTATTATCTGACACAAATACCTGGTAAAATGCTTGCAAAGCAGTCGGGCGCCACCAGGAGAATAGGCAGCCACTGTTCGCAACCATCCAAAGACCTCTGCCAGGCAAAGCGGTGGAGATCTCGGAGAGCTGGAAACCGGCGCATTCGTCCAAGCTCGTAGAACTGAGGTGGAGCGACCCAGATCTCCTTTGATTTATAGCTGTGCAGCACCTCAGAGGGACTGGACCACTGAGAAACAAGGCAGTGTATTTCCCAAGAGTTAAGCCCCATTTGTACTTGTGAGCTACTGGAATCATGAATATTAAACAGGTTGTGTGCGTTCGCTTGAACTGATTTGCTGAAATCAAAACGGGGACGATAATAGGTGAGCACCAGCCAATGAGATTGCTGTTTGTGCATTAGTTCCGCCCACTACCGGAGAAAGCGGTAGTTCTTAAAAGCTGAAGAATTCAACAAAGAATATCGTTTACATGTACCTACAATAACTTCAAAATAGCGGTAAAAATCAAGTTTGAGATCATTTTCATTAAAACATCTAATTGCCAGATTTCCAGTGTCCTACCCATAATTTATTTTTTCTGGACAAATACAAATCTTTAAAGCGATTTTTCTAAAGTTTCACACTCAGGAGCAGAGCGGCAGTACACCTGTCACTCAAGTGGCCACGCCCTTAATTATCCAGAACTTTAAGGCTTAATATAATTTAAACGGATGAGTTATTAAAAAATTCACCCCCCTCACAGTTGTCATGAAGGGCAAAATTACCTATATAGACCAAAAGCACTTTTTGTACCAGGCTGTAAATATTTTTTTCTGCTGTAAAGTTGGGCATTTTAACGTGGGGAGTCTATGGGACTGACTCCCTTTTGCAGCCAACCTCTAGCGGTCAGTCGATGAATTACAGTTTTAGTCACTTGCGTATTGGCTTCAAGCGAGAGACCGGGAGGTTGACACTTGGTCAAGACTGAATGACTTAAAAGCTACTACGGAAATTTTACGTTTATGAATAATACCTACGTTACGTGATGTTCAGCCACTTGCGTTAGGTGGGCGCAGCCTAGCTGGCCCATGAGCGCTAGCCTCATGAATATTAATGAGGCCACAGGCGAACGCTCAGCACGTCAACACGGAGCAGTCGAAGTTATTTTTTAAGTTAAGCTTTTAATCTAGCTAACAAATGACTGTCCAACGTGGTAAACTTACTGTTCAAAACGCACCTTAAAATGAACTATTTCCTTCTCGTCGTGGAGCGTGTGTGGCGTGTCGCGCAGGCAGCAGATGTAGAAGGCCGTGTCGTAGCGCCTCTGATTGCCGTGCATGCCTAGAGGGGTCAGCCAGTTGCCCCACTCGTGTAGAGCCCAGATGTTGGGCAGACACTGCAGCTCCTTGCACATCTTAATAAAATTCGCCGAGTTACCAATAACCAGAGATCTCCACTTGGACAGCACGTCTCTGTCCCACAGTCCGCTCAGTGTGGTCAGGGTTGGCTGGGTGTCCTCTGTGTGCACGCGAATCCCGCTTTCCTCGTGTTTGGGGACCGCCAGGAGCACACCGGACTCCTCAAACGTCTCTCTCACCGCACATATCCTGAAAGCCACGTCTCCGGGGATGGGGGATCCCAGCTGCGCTCTGTCGGTGGCGAAAATGGGCGGCCTGGTCTCCGGCGGCTGCTTCGCAACTCCGATGCCGTAGTGGGGCGCTTTCGTGAAGGACCGAAAGACCTCCTGCCAGTCGCTGGAGAAGTCAGACGCGTCCGCCAGCCCCCCGGGAAACACGTAGGCATTGGGCATGAACCCGCTGTTCTCGCTCCGTTTCAGCAGTAGCACTTGATAATCAAAGGCGGATCTGTGCGCTATATGAGTGGCTTTCTCCAGACCTGTTTTAAGAGAGTCCGCGCTCTGAGCGTGTCTCAGGCCGGCCGCCAAGATCACCGTCGCCGCCTCCCTCCAGTGCTTCAGCGCCGTGTTCATCCTGACCCTCGCTTAACTTACATGTTACACCTGTCAACGTCGGTCCACTAATCATGAATGGCGCCAACTAGGACAGCACAGAGGAAATAATAGTGCATTTATTCTGTACTTGGTGATTGGCGCCATCTACGGCAAGGGATGAACGCTTGATTTTCATAACTTTGCCACATTCTTATATGAAGACCTTTTTGTCTCATTGGAGAAGCTGGTATGCTACAAGTATATTCCTTTGAATATATTGATTTATGAGTTGAACCAAGTCCAACAACATATACTGACCAAATCCCAGTAACCGCTGAGAAACGTAACGGGTATCACGTGACATCTGGAGTACTGTCACGCGACGTCGCACCCTTACAGAAACGCCCACCTGGGGGGCGACACAAGGCTCTCCTCCGCTGACCGTCGAGTATCTTTTACGAGGTTTGCATTAGTGGTAAGAGCGATATTTAAAGGCCACATTCAGTATATACACCTTATTGATGATGCATACTTCGCACAGGCAATCAGAGGAAGCCAGAATATAAACGCAATGCACAAAGGTCCACGTTAAAAGCAAACCGTTATAAAGAAACCATTGAAGCATTTAGCACATTGCGTTCATATTCCGAGCTCATCTGCTGTGTGTGAATTTGATCTTTTAATATCACTGTTTTTGCTTTTTTGAATGACACGCAGGTTTTTTAATTGAAATATTGCAGCGGGTATAAGATAAGAGATAAGAAAAAGAAAAAGAAGCCTAAGATGAAGCCCGTGCATCACTTTTAGGTAAGTTCATCTGTGAAACTTTTTTGGGATGTTGACGTTAATAACATGTTTTAATGTTGGTATAGTGTTTTTTTAATGTCGGTAATAATATCACCGCCGCATCTGCCTTAATATTCTCTCAGAGTTTCCATGTTCCCTTACGAAAATGAACCATAATTTCACTACGAATAAAAAAAAGCATGCTTCTTGTAGCAATGGTATTGTAACCACAAATGAACCATGGTTTTGATACTTCAAATCGCTTCAAATAATAATTTACGAAGTATTCAGATAATATTTGTGTGTAAATAAAAAATGGCATAAAATGCATTATATAAAAACAATGAGGCAATAATGATTGGTTAATGAATAATACTCGTATGGTTTCATTGAATAACACTGTTCAAATACATAATGCAGGCTAATACAAAATAAACTATTTATGTACATTACATATTATTACAAATGCCCGCAAAGGGCGCCAAAGGCCTGGTAATTGCTGTTGTAACACTTACAGGATGATCAAATCCTTGTTTAATATTGACCAAACATTTAATTCAAATATCCACTTAATCTTTCATGTTTGGCCACCTTTTTACGATAGAAATGCTGGCCTCTATAATCTCTTCAGCAAAAACATGTGGGCATCACAACCTTTACAAAAACGAATCCTTGGTTTTAATTGAAGTAAAACTGCTTTATTTTCTATGGTGTGATTTCTGAATGCTTGAGACCATAAAATCAATCAGACAACTGTATTAATAAAATCATAGCCATAGGCGACTGTCTAGCTACAATTGTAATTTGTAAATAATACAATTTAATTACAATTTAGTTTTTTCCTTTTATATTTTTTTAAAGTTCTGTTCTGCCCCCTATAGTAGGTGTTTTTTTTTTTTACTTCCATAATATTTTGGGGAGGGGGCACAACAATACAATTCTGCTTAGGGCACCCATTTGGCCAGCAGTGGCCCTGCTTGTACTGCAGTTCCGTGCATGTTTTGCCCGCCAGGTCTTCTTTTAGACCCATCTAAGCACCTGCACAATTTCCCATTGTCATGATAAATATATTTCTAAGATATAGAGTGCAACCGCATCTGAATTCTACATGATTATTTTAATAATTCTCCTATGGAGAAAATGAATGGGATTTTTACTTCCAGAACCCCACTATTCTCTATGCACTCTAGCTCTCTGTTACAAGTTCTATAATTCAAAATAATTCTATAATAGGCTACTTAAAGATGTGCATTAATACAATTATTAATCTCCTGTGATTTTATGAGTCCGAGTAAATTCATGCAATGGGTTGTCCTAAAGTCATTGTTTGAAAATATCTGTTTAGCATTCAAGGAAAAATAATTTACAATTCATACATTTGAGTTCAATAGACTTGGAAAAAATATCATTGCTATTCTGTACAACAAACTTGCATATAATAACACAATTAGTAAAAAAAAGAAAGTAAAATCATATCGCTGTGACCTGGGAAAGACTTGTAATACCTGTCAAACAATGGATGGTCAGGCATTAGAAATAGAAAGAAAAAAAAAATACAAAAATCTGACCAGACGAACCAGCAGAACGGAAAAATCAATATAAGACGTAATAAAACAGACGATGAATAATTCTTTAAGAATCCTTTATCCACATTTCCATGAATCAGTCTGTTGTCCGTTGCTGGTTATTATTACATCTGTGTCTGTCCTCCTCCAGTGTGATATCTGTCACTCAGTCTTTTCAGGTGGAACAACTTCCAGTAGCAGCTGAAGGTGCATGGTGAGTGGCCCTGGAAGGGTTACCGGTTCAAATTTAAGAATTTATGGGAAGAGATGCTATTTATTTGCCATTTCTTGACTAAAAGTTTTTGGGACTAGGATAGTAGATAGTAGAGAGTTAAAAAAAAATGTAATTACTGTATACAGAATGAACCTATTCACATTTGGTGAAAATGAAAATATTTAGAAAATGTTAAAATATTTATTGCATACCGTTTTGTTTATGTTCTCATATTTATTTATGTTTTTATGATGTGTAAAGTCATAATTGTTTCATTATAATACTGTTTTGATCGGTTTGCTAACTGCAATGTTTATTATTATTTACTATTTTTCAGTGTGTGATTTTTGGTGAATTGTATTTAAACCAGTTGTGTTCAGTTTGACCCACAGACATTAGAAAAACTATTAATTATCATAGTATATGGAACTCACAACAATTAAAAAACAAAAACATACAAAAATGTATCGTTCCTGTTTTTTTAATTCATAGAGAAAAATTGAGATTTCAATGATATTTTGACCACTGATAGGCAATGTCCCTAGTTTCATTTCATAAATCTGGTCACCTTACTTAAAATTTATTAAGGATCAAAACAAACTTAGGTTTTGCTCACTGAAATATATCCAGATGTGTAATTTCCAGCTACTCATATGTTCCTTTGGCTCAGTGGTAGATCATTGTGTTAGCAGAGCAAAGGTCGTGGGTTCAATTCCCAGGGAACACACATACTGGTAAAAAATGTATAGCCTGAATGCACTGTTAGTCACTTTGGATAAACTTAATTTTTTAAATTTTTACTTACTCATGATGCAGCGAGTCCAGTTGAATTTGTAGTAAATGAAGGGTACATATAAGAGAAGACCACCGATTATGAACACTGTGCAGTACAGGTACTCCCACTCAGGCTTGTCTATGATGGGAGCAAGAACCAGATAACAGGACACAATCACCACCAAAACAGGGATGACTATCGGCACCTGAGAGAAACAAAAAGCAAACATTTTTATGTTGGGTAGCCATTTTACAATAGATTACCATAAACCATAACATAAGACTTGCTATATTAAACTTTATTTATTAAAAACAAACAAAACAAAAACTAAATTTTTCAGTTTTTTTTTTTAAATATTTCCACTCTAGCTTCCTCTTGAAAGTTGGCTTCTGTGCCACTGGGAATATTATGGGGTCATATCCCAAATAGCTTTTGATGTTTTAGAATTTTGAAGTTGCTTTGGATACTAGCATCTGCTAAATGATTACATATAAACGCAAATACTGTGAAAGCTGTGAACGTTTTTGAATTCATTCACATGATGAGGTGTCACTCTAACCTTGACAGGTCTCTGAAGCTCCTTCCTAGTGAATCGCATAACAATGAGCGCAAGACATGTGAGCCCATAGAAAACCCACTGAGCAAAACTGAAGTAATTAATGAGAGTGTTTATGTCTGCTGGCATGACGTAGATGATTGACAGCAAGCCCTGCAAATCACATTCAAGAACACATACTTAATCATAACATGTATATATTGTTAATGTGTTTAAAACTGTAGTCAAAAATGGTAGTAGGAAAAAATGGGTTGAGAATGTAACATTACATTAAATATTAGAGCTGGAGAAGGTGTGTAACGTTTCACACTGATGTACGACATGATCCTAACCATGTGTCCCTCCCGTCCTGCCACATATGTCAGCCTAACATATACAAACAGACACAACAGACGGTGAGAGTCAGGCCCAGAAAACAACTTTCACTAATTTTCCAGTCTGCAAACTTCTATAAAACAGCTGAATTTCCTAACCTGCCTGCGGTGAAACAGCTCCCATTGGCTGCACCAAAAGTAGAAAAGACCACAAATAAAGGCACAATCCATGATAATGGGTACAGCACTCTGTCACCAAAGGTCTGTGAAGTAACCAATGATTTAGTAAAATACAACTCAATGATCATTTTACATCAGAAAGGATGTTAACTGAAAACTTCAAATAAACGGACATTAACGATAATTCTCAAAAACCACTGACCAGTGAATTTCCATGATGACTTCTCCAATTATTTATGATTAGAATAAGGGTTTTAAAAATCTATTTTTAGAAATTGTGCTTGCAAAACCAATTAATTGGCTTATTGCATATTATCGAACTAAGCATAATAAGGGGGAAATTATATAGAATATAACTTTTTCTAGGTCTGGAAACCACAGACTTAAAATTCCCTGATATTTTCAGGTTTTCCTTGGTTGTGGGAACTATGATTAGTGAAGTTTGCTTTTGAAGCATTCAGAGCAAGTATCAAAGTATCGTGATTTCAGTAAAGGAGGCTGTTATGTCATAATGGTTTCGAAATTTCAATGGTGCATTACTAAGGGTCCATGAAACTCTGTCTGTAAGGTTTTTACCTGATCCCAGATCAATTTTATACATTTGTAGACATTTTTGATGACACATTTGTATAATAAAAGGGAAAGGTTATAGATATTAGTTTCGTATTGGCCTGATTAACCAAGCTCTCCATAACCAAAACAAGCACTACAAATTAATACAATAACACATATTATTTAAAAGCACATCATATTTAAAGGCATTAGATGATTTGGTAATTATTTAATATATTACACTTTCAATAAAACATTTGCAATCTGTAAAACGTTTTTTTTTTTATTGCATTTTTGATCTGTTTTCAGTGCATTTACAAAGTTCTGACCAGCAGGTGTCCCTAACGTGTGGTAAGTGAATTAAAAAAAAAAAAAAAGTGAATAATTTATAATTTTTCAATTGATTCTCCCGTCACTGACTATGACAGTGGCTGCATTCGAAATTGCATACTTTCCTACTATACAGTAAATTCAAGGTAGGCTACTTATGACAGAGGTGGCAAAAAGTACCCAGATGACTTACGTTACCACTTCTGGCAACACAGTGTGTATAGAATGGACACTTTACTATCCCATCTGGCCGTGGGAGAGGATTTGTGAATGGCAGTGAAGCAACGTAACGGACGCTGGTAAGTCACATGATAATGACAACATGGCCAATGTAGTAGGTTTTTTACGCGGTCGCAAAGTAATTACTTATTCAAAAGAAGCGATTTCCGACATATTCTGTGACTGTGGCTATAATACACACTCACCACAGCAACGGCAGGAGACTGTAGAAGTTCAATAGGGGTCAAGACACTGAGATATGCAATGTTCACAAATATATAGCACACAGTTACCAGGGGAATCCCAATCATTATTGCCAGGGGAAGGTCTCTGTTCAAAAAAGAGATAACAACACAATAAGACTTCATGGCTAACACTGAAGCACAGACTACATTTAATGGGAGAAACTTTCACATGCACATGTAATTATAGAATTATTTCATATATGTTGTAGAAAAACAGAATACAAATGTAAAGTTTCATTTCAGTCTGACCTGTATGGATTTTTCAGCTCTTCTGTTATGAAGTTAAGCTGATTCCTATGAGAAAGACAAAAGGACTTTAAAAAGAATTGCCATAGCTGACTGAAGCAGACTTGTAGTCTTGAGCATGCTTCTCTCAGAACAATAAAGCCCTGGATTGAGAATGATCTGGTGAAAGTCCAGGCAACTAAAAAAAGATCCTACTGTATTGAAGTTTCGACAAGCATTCAATTCCCTTTTCCCATTTCAGCACATCTCTCACAGGTGCTGAAAATCCACTCTTATCAGATGTTGCTTTAACAGAGAAATCATTAGATTGTGTGAATGATTCCCAGGGCTGAAAGCACACTAGAATGTAGTTGATTCGATGAATCTATTAGATTCTAAGAACAGGAAGAATCTGTGTGTGTATTTAAAAAGATGAAGACTGCTGCTTAGCATTAGCCTCATATGCCACATGTGCAACATTATATGAGCTCATCAATAATTTACCATCCATCATAAGCCCATAGTCCATTGTAAAACGCAAGGCCAATTGCTCCAAATGATGTTGTTGCCCCTGCAAATGGGTCTCTAAGATTCTGTGTATTGCCTATAAAACAATTTTAACAATAAAAAGACACATTTTATTGATCTGTCATTGAACATTTACACTCTGGCCATAGTCTATGATGAGTCATCTTTCACAACATAATAAAATAATAATTTCTTTATCAACATGTATTTGATCCCAGTCTTTTTCCCATTTCAGCACATCTCTCACAGGTGCTGAAAATCCACTCTTATCAGATGTTGCTTTAACAGAGAAATCATTAGATTGTGTGAATGATTCCCAGGGCTGAAAGCACACTAGAATGTAGTTGATTCGATGAATCTATTAGATTCTAAGAACAGGAAGAATCTGTGTGTGTATTTAAAAAGATGAAGACTGCTGCTTAGCATTAGCCTCATATGCCACATGTGCAACATTATATGAGCTCATCAATAATTTACCATCCATCATAAGCCCATAGTCCATTGTAAAACGCAAGGCCAATTGCTCCAAATGATGTTGTTGCCCCTGCAAATGGGTCTCTAAGATTCTGTGTATTGCCTATAAAACAATTTTAACAATAAAAAGACACATTTTATTGATCTGTCATTGAACATTTACACTGTCTCTGGCCATAGTCTATGATGAGTCATCTTTCACAACATAATAAAATAATAATTTCTTTATCAACATGTATTTGATCCCAGTCCGTTCAATTGAATAATAAAATACTAATGTTGTTTGCAATGTCACATAAATCAGGTGTCAATAATAATGAATATCACAAAGACAGAGATCTCAGGGGATGGAGAGGTATACCTTGAGCCAGCAGAACGATGCCTGAAACCACGATGATGACAATAATCAAGAGTTTGGCTGCTGTGAAAAAGTTCTGCACTCTGTACGCCAGCTTCACACTCAGACAGTTGACGACTGTAATTATTACTGATGGAGAGAACAGACAACAGTTGAGTCCAGTATAATGTCATTGGGATATAAAAAGGGCCTAGGCCTGTACATACAGATACAAGCTGCAGCCAGGCACTTGGTGACCACTTGAGGAGGAGTGCATCCTGGGTAAAACGGTGTGGAGGCATATTCGGCACAACTCAGGGCGATGATGGCAAATGACGAAGGCTTTAACACGATGATCGTGCTCCAGGAATATAGGTATGCCAGCACTGGCCCAAAACCCTCCATCAGGTACGGATACTCTCCACCAGACTTCATGATCATTGTGCCTAGTTCAGCATAGCAGAGGGCCCCTGCACACGCATGCACAGGTAAACCTCTTAGTTTCTCAGTGTTCAAGCTGAGGTCAATGAGTCCGTTACTGAAAGGTCTTCTGCAGGCAGAGTCAGTATTAAACTAAAGAGGATTTCGGTGTCTTGTGAATTTTCCCAAACATTATGTGGCTTAAAAAGACTGACTGAGGGTTTCCGAGTGAGAGAACATATCTGATTAACCTCCTTGCCTTTGCCCAACTATAATCTCAGCAGAAAGTGCAGGGTAAAATAAAGATTGCGATTTAGATATTTGCAATGGATGGAGCAAAAAAGGTTCTAAAATCATTTAATACATCTGGCAGAATGAACTAACAATCTTAGTTAATGTTTATTTTGAAATATGCTGCTTAAAATTTCAATTGTCATAAATTAATTTTAGTATGTATTTATGTATTATGAACAAAAATGAATTAACATTGAACAGCAGCATTTTTGAACATTAGCATAAATACAATACTGTTCATTGTTTATGATATCTAATGCATTATCTATTGTTAATTAACTGAACCGTATGTGTTAGCAATAAAACATACTGTATATAGCACCGATTAATAAAGCAGCAACCTGTATGGGTAATGGACATAAATGACATTATACTATATTAGAAAAGATTGTACTTTGCTTTAAGAAACAGTGAATCTTATTGTTACGTCATATGGAGAGATTATCAAACAGCCAAAACAAACATGACACGATACATGAGGTGACAGTGCTTAACCTCACCCATTTATCTTTGTTATGAGGGTTTATCAAGGCTTTTATACAAGCTCATAGATACTGTGTCTGTTGTGCGTATACTGACCAAGCGTAGCCAGCACACCACACACCGCCCACACACACAGACATGGACCCACTGCTCCAGTCCCCTCCAGAACCGCTTTGGGAGAAATGAAGATCCCTGAGCCGATCATTGTTCCCACTATCAGACAGATGCCACTTACGAGACCCACCTGAGACATTCAGTACGACTTGAGGTTAAAGGGTCTTGGTTTCATTCATTATGTATAGCAATTCAGTTATCGTGAAATTAAAATTAGGGATGCATGATGTATCGATACCACATAAGATTTTTGTATATATTTTTTACTGTAGCAATATTTGTTGGATACTTTAATGCTCATTTACTTTATTTTGTACATTCAGGTTAGCTTTGTCATTTGTCATATATATATATATATATATATATATAGACTAAAGCATTAAAAAAGTATTCAGTTTTAGTCAGTCTGATGAGATCCTCCAGTGTCCACCCTGTCGTTGTTGTTAAAGTATCAAGAAAGGTTAATGTATCGTCTTCCTCTGCACCTTGTACCTTCAATCTTTCCCATCATGATGTCCTTTTCCAGTTATAATACATTTTGTTATAATGTTGTTGTGTCTAAATTCATTCATAGCATTTAACAGGATCGATTCTAGTTTTTAGTGTTTCTTTTATATAGAATTGCCAATTAATCGGTTATCGACAGTAACAAATAATAATTCAACTTACGCATCCCTAATTTCAATGATCTACATGATCTCAACCCACTATTATCACAGAGAGAATGACGCTTGTAGTTTGGTCTGTATCCCTTATATTGCCGGAATTTATTTTGTTTTAATATAAGCTAAAGCTATTTGTATTACTGTGGCCTTCCACATCCTCATGCATGCAAATGTGCATATAAATAGTCTAACTTGTCATTAGTGGGAGTCACAAAAGAATATACAGACAGACGGGTCAGGAAGGGAAGGGATTACACCGCAGTGATGGCGACAGGCACTGCCAGGTTAACCCACAGTTAAACCCTTCACACACTACACACCCATATGCACCGTGTCTGGATGGAAACCAGCGATCATGAAGCATTCTTCACATTTTTATGTGTGCTCATAATGAGTAAGATTATCTTTCTCTCTCACATTCTTCTGCAGAACTGCTGCTTTTGGCTGATCATGCGTTTTGGCTTCCAATGCACCCGAGACGCTCCCATTGTGAGTGTTCGGCTTTTTCAGATCTTCATCCATCGCTCACAGGATCAACTGTCCAGTCTTATTTTTGTGCAGTCACACTGAATAAATACAGACAAAAATATAGTATACTTTTTACTATAAACATAATTACACAGTACGACCAATTGAAAAAAGAAGAAAACAACCAAGCCTGAACCTGCCTCGGTCTCTAAAATACAGACAGAAATCTAACAAGCGAAGTCTAAATCGAAGGAATAATACTTTTATTCTCAGTGTCTGTCGTTTTGATGTCTTGTGCTTGTGTAGCTCATCATGTCAGATTACTTCAAGCAACCTCAAGGCCAAGATAAAGGTTAAAGACATTATATTGTTTCAAGTGTTGCTAATGCAGGCGACCTTGTGTCAAGATGTTGTGGGCTCTCTGACAGAGCTATTTATTCATACACAATAACATATGCTTCAGATCAATTTGTCTCCTAGCAACTACAGTACAATAGCTAAAGGTTCAGTTTATACTACAGTCAAGAAGCACTGACTAGAATCAACTGCAAAAAGTCTGCGGGAATCCTAGAAAAACGAGTACTAAAACTATTACAATTCTGTAAAGTCAGTAGAAGAGTTCACATATTTTTTTTGAGGTAAATGATTAAACCTCTTTTAAAACCCATTTATTTGTGCATCCGGAATCTTTTCTCATTCTACACAGATAAGAAATGAAGACACTGAGACTGATGTCCACAAGCGACTACTAATGCTCAGCCTACTGAAAATAAATAGCACGAGTTAATTAAATGGGATTTGTCTATTGATTTGGAGACAGAAACATCCATGCAGCCATTATCTGGATGGTCCATTGTGTAGCCCTATAAATACACTCATTTAACTTAAAGATTCACAGTATAATCAAACACACATTAATATGTCAGTTAAGATCACTGTTTCCTTTTCTGCCAAACGTTTATCATGATTGTAAAAATATGTTTCACTACTGACAAAAAAATATCACATTATCAATAACTTGATAACAAAAATAAGGTACTGAAAGTTTTCTGAGTGCACTTTTTCAGGTGCAGTTAGCAAGATAAACTATAGGTTAACTCGAGCTTACTTTTAGTGCCACCAATTCCACCGTCACATGAGACTCATGTTTAACTTGAAGCATGAGGAGAAAGACAAACCTGCAATGCAATCAGTTTTTCCAGCAGATATCCCACGTTTTGATCCATATCCAAATCCATGTGTTTAATAACCAACCAAAGTGGGTGGGACTTCCAATGTTAAGTCATTCTCCTGGCTGACCGTGATTGAAGCAAACATGTGATAAGAAGGAGGAGAGGGAGCAGATCTGACCAACACAATACTCCTTTGAGAGGGACACTTGATATGGTTCGGGTGGAAATAAAGAGGGGGTAAGAGTATAAAGCTAAGGACAGAACAGAATAAAACAGAACCGCCTCAGATGAGCATGATTAACTTTGAAGTCAGAACACAGTGTATCTCTACATAGAGTTCCACAGAAAACACGGCATTAGATAGCTTGCTGCTGAATTATTATTATTATACATAAAAATACTTGGTATGAACTTCAAGAATTTAGGATGTAAAAAAAGCATTTTCTCATTGCACCTTTGCTGGCGATTTACAGAATTTATTAATCTGGCTTAATGTTAATTTATAAATGTATTTTTGTTCATTGTTATTCATGTTTGTTCATAATACATTCATAAACATTCATTTATTCAACTTGAATAGTCACTGATGTGTTAGTATATGTAGAAATGAACATTAAATGTAGATTAATAAATGAAATAAACGGTAAAATGATCAACTGTAAGAATGTTGTTCACTGTTCATGATATCTAATACATAATATATTAATAAAGCTAATGTATAGAACCGTATTGCAAAGTCTTTCCATAATAGCAGCACAGCTCTAACTTGCTGTTAACTACCCCAGTGTTTCAACAGTTCCTAATCTCAACAAACGGTACCCTATAAATGATATAAACACTAAATGATACACACCAGCAACACCCAACATAAACTACTACTATAGAAAAAATGAGTGAGTTTCAGTTTTCTTGGAGAGCTTTTCTTATGTTGTTAACACACTACATTACACTCAGAAATAGTGATCTTCGACTCACTATTCCCAGTACACTACCATAACTATATATAATACCAGACAGAGAGACTGATAAGAGATGTTCATTTTTCTCCCACAAATATTAAAAATGGAATTTCCCTTCATATAGTCGTCATTTGGCTTTATTTGAGACTGAGACAAACAGCATCACTGTTCTCAGTGACAATCTTCCGAATGTTAAACATGAATTAACACTGAAATAAATCTGCCTGAACAGAGGTTTATAATAGATATTAGGCAAAGTGAGAATGTCACAGTTGTATTGATCTACTTTGTCCAGAAAGTACCATTATTCTCGTACCTTCATTCAGTTTTCATAATATTTAGTCATAGAGGAACACCCAAGGACATGCAAACTTGTGATTACAAGTTTCACTACATGAATATATCAACAATGTAAAAAATTATTACAAAGATCTACCATAACTATATATAATACCAGACAGAGAGACTGATAAGAGATGTTCATTTTTCTCCCACAAATATTAAAAATGGAATTTCCCTTCATATAGTCGTCATTTGGCTTTATTTGAGACTGAGACAAACAGCATCACTGTTCTCAGTGACAATCTTCCGAATGTTAAACATGAATTAACACTGAAATAAATCTGCCTGAACAGAGGTTTATAATAGATATTAGGCAAAGTGAGAATGTCACAGTTGTATTGATCTACTTTGTCCAGAAAGTACCATTATTCTCGTACCTTCATTCAGTTTTCATAATATTTAGTCATAGAGGAACACCCAAGGACATGCAAACTTGTGGCAGGCACCCTTAGATATAAAACTACATGAATATATCAACAATGTAAAAAATTATTACAAAGACACTATATGAAAGAAAATAATATTTATTATGGTTGCACAGTAATTTCAACAGGAAATTTAAATCAGCCTATTTATTTTCTTAATGCACATTGCTGGTCTTGTGCACAATTTATTGTTAAAATATGTGTTCATAATCTTTTATCAAAATCAGGGATAAGAAAGCATTCAAGGAATAAAAAGGAATTATTCGTGTAATTATTATCAGTAACTTGGCACAGCTTGGCACAACAAACCTTGATAAACAGACTGCAATATTCTGACCCAAAGACCCATGAAGACTCGGAAGAATGTGTCCCTAAATACAAGTGGAGGTCTGCTGCGCAACTGTCTTTGTTATATACCGGTAGATGCCCCATATCTGAAGCACGAAATACACTGCTATCAGTCTTTCAGTTTTATTAGAAAGTGCTGACTTCCTAAAGAGTACCACAAGACTTCTTGATTCTCTAAATTACACTGCAGTATAATTAAATCTGGCCTTTTTGTTGTTTGCCTCAGTTTTTAGTCATTAAGGCTTTGAATGAGAAAAATATGTATGGTCTAAAAAAAAAAAACATAACAGCACACCAGAGAACAGTCAATGGAAACAGCCCACAGTAATAGAAAAAGAGTACACTATGTGTTTCAATAAGCCATAATTATGAAGGTCCTTGAGAAGCATTGATTTTGTTAGAAAATATTTGTAATGCATGAAACCAGGAGCCAAGAGCATAAAAACCCATATAATTAATAATTAAATTCATCACAAAAACACTCTCAACCAATTAGCTTAGTTGTAAGTTTTAAAGGGGTCATATGATGCTGCTAAAAAGAACATTATTTTGTGTATTTGGTGTAATGAAATGTGTTTATGTGGTTTAAAGTAAAAAAAACACATTATTTTCCACATACTGTACATTATTATTTCTCCTCTATGCCCCGCCTTTTTGAAACGTGTCGATTTTTACAAAGCTCATCGGTCTGAAAAAGCGAGGTGTGCTCTGATTGGCCCGCTATCCAGTGCATTGTGATTGGCCGAATACCTCAAGCGTGTGACGGAAATGTTACACCCCTACCATACTGTGATGCCCTGTCCGGCCAGAGCGACGAGACAAAAACATTAAAACCCATTATAAACGAGGCATTTGTTGCATCCAGTGGGGACATAATTACTGATTATAATGACTTATACTATCTTTTTACGTGTTGCGTTGCATTGCATCGCGCCACGTAAACATAAAACTCTGTCTGCATTTGTGATCGGAGAAATTACAAACAACAAGCGCTACTCTACACTGCTCAAAACTCACGCGTTTGAATCATCAGAGGCAAATCATTTAAATGAAAACGTACTTAGTCTGTGAGTCAGAACAGCCGGCATTGTAGTCTACTCTACCAGGATCAGGAAACAGTCCTCCATAAAATGTGCTGCACACATCTGGATATTTGGGTTAAACTGTTCTGGAACAGTGTTGTAAATACAACTTAACCACTGATTTGTAGTCGTGTCCTCTTTTGGAAGACCAAACAAAGTAGCTTCGCTTTCACAGCAGCCTAGCGTGAGTGAAAGCCCCAGCTTAGCTTTCACAACGAAGCACACAGCGCCTTCACGACATGGCTGCGGCGTCAACAATACTACAGTGAGAATAAAAGTTACACCTTCTTTCTTTGCGTGAACATTTGGGCAGTGTTATGCAAATCTTCCCACATAGTGAGGTAGATATGTGGGGGTGTGTTAGAACGAGCCGTTTTAGGTAGGTGTGGCTGACTCTGAACTTTTATGCAGAATATCTCTTTGGATTTGAGACTTTAGTCTTTGCAACTTTACAGATCTTCTTTATGCACCAAGAGCTTTTAACACTCCAAAGAGAAAGGAAAAATTGAAATCGCATCATATGACCCCTTTTTAAGCATATGTATTAAGTCAGATATGTTATATGTTATATGATATTTTCAAAGTGAACCCTCGTGAACCCAAAGTGATCAGTGGGTGAAACAACATCTCTACAATATCAAGTCTCCTGGAGGCATGTGATTATCTTTATTAAGAAGAGACCACGACAGATGATAGTAGAGTCACCAACAAGCAAAATGGTATCAAATATAATTACGTTAATAACAAGACAAACACATTTTCAAAGAAGAAATCTGTGGCGAATTGGCCTTTATGTCAGATTGGTTCCTGGCTTCAGTGCAGAACTCTAGTGGGACAGACCAGCCATGTGCCCAGTCTGAAACCTGTAACCGCCTGTACAATTAGGGAGAGGCCACCCTTACAGGCCAGGAAAGCAGGGAAGCTTTGCCACAGCACTCTGGGAGGGATGGCTAGATGGACTAACTCTGCGCACTGGACACCTTGACCACCTGGAAAAATTTGGGAGACACTGTCAGTTCTCCCCAGGGGAACACTGGGAGTAAGGACTAGGGTGTGTCCTGTAAGGTTGTGGTGGGTGGTACAGTGTACATCCCAGTTTGCCATAAAAAAAACCATGGTCCTTCTACATTTTTTGGACTGATTTAGGAAGAGTTTTAGGAGCACAAGTGCTACTATAAAGAAACGCAAGCATAAAGAGTAAACACTATTCACAAGAGCACAACAATAGTGTGACTGAGAGCTTGAAAGGGCCCCAGATGACCTTACACTGAGATGCTAACCTAGATAAGGAACAATCTATAACTCAGTCTAGACCAGGGGTGGCGAACTCCGGGTCCTGGAGCGCCGCAGTCCTGCTGAACTCAGCTCCAACCCTAATAAAAACTCACCTGCCTGTAGCTTCCTAGTAACCCTTCAGACCTTGATTAGCTTGTTCAGGTGTGTTTGATTAGGGTTGAAGCAAAACTCTGCACGCTGCGGCTCTCCAGAACCGACGTTCGCCACCCCTGGTCTAGACCATCCCAAAGGACAGGTACGAAACTTTAACAACCTCTTCTTCTATCAGGGGTTTTAACTGTTCAGCAGCAGTTGTGGTACTCTTTAAGAAATCAAGAGTTTTGAGTATATACTGTGATGTTAATGCCACATGTGTGATTTATCTACATGGCCTTGTCACAAAATCTGATTCATAAGAACTTTGCAGATTCATCAGGTCTGTGTTTCTCAAAAATGGTATTTCTATTCCAGAACTGGTGGTCTGTTATTATAAAAGTATTGCCAATTACCCATTAAGCTGTGTGACTGTTAATGTAACCTTAACAGACCAATGTCAATACGGACTAGGTTCAATTCTGTCATTCTAATTTGCATCATTTTAGTTCCTCATTTTGGATTCAAGGAGTAAATGTAAATGAGGAATTCCAGGGAAGCAATTGAAAAGCCTTAAGAATAGGATTGAACATGTCTTACTTTTCGTTCTGATGACTAATGGCCCACTACAAAAGTGAGTGGGTGAGTAATGTGAATAAATTAACAGAACAAGTAGAAACTAAGACAGCTAGAGGTGTATGTGTGTGTGTGTATTTTGCTCACTGGATGTGAGGGAACTCAGGACGAAGTAACAGTATAAGATGTCCTCGTCATTTTTCTCTGCTGTCAGAACCTCAGTCCACTGGGCCTGTGAAAGAGAACAAGTGACCTGTACCTGCAGAGCTGCTTCACATACTCATAAGCATACAAACAGTCTTACTCTCTCTCATTTACACACACACACACACACAATGCTATTTTTCCTCTTACCTTTGATAAGTTGTAGCTCTTTGCAGACAGTTGTCCTACATTCCATCCTAAAATATAGATTCTTGATTTATAACATCTACCAAAGCACTGCAGGTCTGTTTCAAATCTCCAGTTCACTGGGCTGCACTATCAGAGATGGGCAGTATTTTAATTAAATGTATTAAAGGTATACTGTAACTCCAGTATTGCTAAATGTAATGGCAGTGTCTCTTGCACTTCAAATGATTGCTTGTAAATATTGTTTGTATTTTTGTATTTTCAAATTACATATTACTTTCTTAAATACATTTGATTAGCAAGTATTTGTAATTTGTAACAAAATACTTTCTGATGTATTTGTGCCCATCTCTGTTCTTAAAGAATTCAGTGACATTAACAAAAACATTCTATCACTGCCATATTAATATAACAAACACACATGCTCCAAAAAACAGCAATCTGTCAGTAAAAATCAACAAAACAATTTAAGACGTAACCACCAATGCACAGGAACCAATCGATAAACAGTTAACTAACACTTCAAATAATAAAACCACTGCCAATCTATGAAATTTATAATCAATATCCTACTGCTAACCGAAAGTGCTCTATTTCTACAGGACGCTCGCACACATGCACACGGATGGCAGTTCTGTGACCCACTGTTACAACAGACACCCTGAATGTCGTTTGTTTTGTGCAGTAATTGCTGGGTTATAATTGTGCTCTAAAATAGTGCAATGCCATTATGGAGGGAACTATTGGACTGCCCTAATTATGCTGCAACAGTCAGACAAGCTGGTTTTATTGCGGTATCTCGCTAGTTTTGTCCTGACCACAGCTGATTTGCTTGTGAACCCACCGTTTATGAAATTAAGATGTCTCTCCTCAGGAGAACCTTATATTAGATAGTGTTCTTATATTAGATAGATAGCTTGTACTGGCAAAAATGCTTTGAATTCAGAAGATTTAGATATAACATGAAGTCAGCATGAAGCAGAAATTGCGATCATATTTTCTCCCCTACGCACCTGAAGGCATTTATTGGTTTTCCACGGATGAGTGTTTTGATGCTACACTATTTCTTCTTTTTAATAACAATAAAATGAAATATTCCATAAAATAAAAATAAAACCTTATAACATTGACATCTTTGCTGGTGAGGCAGTATACGCATAATCAAAAGCAGTTACTGTTTCCCTCAAGACAAATGCACTTTTTTAGTAATTTGGAATAGCAAAGAAAATTGAGCTCACTGCAGGTCATGAGCAGAAAAACAAACAAAACTCATAATTTAATTGTTTATTCCAACATATTATTGCCCAGAATTCTGCACTAGTGCAAAAATACACAAACAGGATGCTAATTAAATTATGGTATCCCATATTTTGTCCTTATTAAAGAAAATTATAAGGGATATCCTTAGTGCAATCTTTTGTGCAAGGCCTTCATCCTAGATAGAATGAGAGAGAGATCTCTGTTGCTCTGTCATTCATCATGTGGCTTGTGTAATATAATTTTCTATGCTATTGTGTGTATTCACTGCTGGAACTGCTCTGTCACAAATGCTTTCTGAAATGAGCTCAACAGCCGAATAAATGCTGTAACGTTCTCCATCTACAGGATAATCATTATTAGCAATTGAGTTACACTGTTATATATGTGGAAAACAAACATCAAAGCACATTTGTCATAGTTAAGACAAGAGAAAGGTTATGTATTTAAGGGCCTCGTGTTTAAAAAAAATATTTTTTACATAAAAACACCTTAAGCATTCAGGTAAATGAATCCATGAACTCAAAACACTTGTTAAGGAGGATATGGAAATATTAGGAGTCCCGTCCACTCTTGTCACTTTCATCAGATGACAGATTCTGCTGCTGGTCGGAGTCGGAGTCAAACATGGGGCTGCGCTGTAAAGGATGTGGCAGACGGCACTGTCTGGAGGTGAAGGGTGGGGGCAGCGAGCAGGACAAATGATCCTCTACACGAGAGATCCTGGCAGGATTCTGGCCGGAAGTTCTGTGTAGGGCTGGAGCCACGTTGGCTGGACTCAGCGAACTGCTCCCTAACACCACCTCTTTCAAGCGCTGACTCTCTCTGGTCGCTGCCTCCCAAACCACCTCCAATTCACCTTCTACCTCTCTGAGAAACACAGAGAGAGAGAGAGAGAGAGAGAGAGAGAGAGAGAGAGAGAGGCTTGTTTTAGTGCAGTATGGGTAGGCTTTCCTGGTTCAAATATGAGCTCTCCTATCATCACACTCTCTATAAAGAGCAAACACACAAACATTCAAAATACACATGAACATGCACAAATTTCTTCAGTCATTTTGTACCCTCCAGTCAATACCGGTGGATTCGCACACCAAGCGTTTTGAGGGCTCAGCTGTGCAATAATAACTATTAATATATTAGTATTAACTGGAAATGTGCTAAGGCAAAAACTATACTCAAAAACAGAGTGAGAGAGAACGACCAAGCGGTGGAGGGGTGTAAGCTGTGGTAATCATAGATCAATTAGCTGTACCACCTGTTGATGTACATCCTCGCTTCCGCACACACGGTTTATGACAAGCTTTCTATCTCTCTTTATCTCTCACTGTGTAGAAAGTGGCGATTCATCTCTGTAAGTGCATTTTTTCCCATACTATGGAAGTCAATGGCTACCGTCAGCTGTTTAGCTACCAACATTCTTCAAAATATCTTCTTTTGTGCTCAACAGAAGAAAGAATTTGAGGGTGAGTAAACGATGACAGTATTTTCATTTTTGCATCCCTTTAAGATGTGTTTTTAAGCTGCCATCTCCACTGCCTCACCATCTAATCGATTGCTAGTGTTTGCGTTCGCTCTCATTTTCATGACCCAGTTGCCAAAAGAGAGAGGGAAGAGGACGAGAGAGATGGGTGCGAGTGGGCGTGAAAAAAGAAGTGACACGTCTGAGTGGTGAACGTCAGGAGATGAAAGATGAGAGAGACCAGTATTGACCCGGCTGGTTTTAGCATCAAAGTCTTCTACAAGAGATTAAAAAAGAAATGAGAGAGAGATGGGTGAGTACTTTGTGAATGCTGCACTGGGAAGTATGTTTATGGGAGCAGTAGAAATCTGAGTAATGAGGTTGTGTCACTGTGTGTAAAAACCACTTTGAATGATGCCATACAAGTCACCTACGTCACATCAACCAAGCTGTAATTTACTGGTGAACGGCTAATGTCAGAGTCAAAGATTAGAAATGTTGACTTCATGGTTAGTTTCTTGTTACCTAGTGGTTAAAGACCTAGGTTGATAACCATATGCACCTACTCTATGATTTTTTGAGAAGGCACCAGTACCGAGAGGAGATGAGACATGACCAACTAAGTTTTGTTAGATTACTGATAGCTTCTGTTAAACTTACTTGAATGAACTGGGTTTAAATGACCTAAAAAACTAAACAAGTGCTACTGAACTTGACAGCCAGTGATCAACAAGCATTTTTTGCTCTAATCTATAGAGCAGTTACCTCTCTCAGGCAAATGGCACAACAATGTACAATAATAACATTGTAATAAACAACTTTTAATATTTTTTTTCGAACCCATTTTCTATTAGTTGACTAGCTACTATTTGAATAAATAAATAATTGTTAGGTACAATGTACTTATTGTATTCATGTTGTGTTACAAAATACTTTTGCTATTATTAAGGTGCAAAGATCCACTGAGGCGAGTTGAAGAGAACCCAAAGTGCAGTTTATTCAAATGCGAGAATGAGCAGATACACAATAAACAAAGACATGGCTTGACTTGACTAAACAAGAACTTGAACATGAACACAACTCACCAACAGCGGGTTACACTAACAAAGCTAGAAAATGGACAATGGCAAAATGAGGGCTATATAAATCAAACAAAGTGGGGAGGAGTAAATGAATCACTATAACAACTAACAAGGGTAACTATGGGAACTAACAAGCCAGGCAAAGGAACAAGAACTAAACACAAGAAGTGAACACAGAATCAAAGGGAATAGAAAATTTACTTCAATATAAAAGTCCTTGACACAAAACTGGGTAGCACAAGACATGAAAACATGACCATAAATGAAAACCACGTGACATAAGGTGGGATGCAGGTAAAGTTAGTGACAGGTTTAATGGTATGGGTAGGTTCAAGATTAGAGGTAGGTGTCAACATGTAATGTATAGATGTAACAACAGAAATTTATTATAGATGTAATTACATGCATGTATTTTTTTATATAAGTACAACTTAGAAATAAGTGCATTGTATAACATTTTTCCTAGTTAAAGATGCTTAATATAAAGTGGGTCCAATTTTTCTTTCTCAACACATTCTATCAATTCTATTTGAGGTGTCCCTTAATTTGCTTTCCCCCATGTTCCCATTATATGACTTGTTGCAGACTGTATGGCGGAGAGCACAAAGAGTACCTATTATAATCAGTTTTATTTTCACATCTTAAATGCATAATTATTAGCTTTCCCCCATGTTCCCATTATATGACTTGTTGCAGACTGTATGGCGGAGAGCACACAGAGTACCTATTATAATCAGTTTTATTTTCACATCTTAAATGCATAATTATTCATATTAAATAATACAGTTGATTAATGTTTTATTAATGTTTAACTATTAATGTTAAATGATTAATTCCTGTTGTAGCGTCTGGACCAATCAAACACACAATTTTTCATTTGATTTAACAAATCAGTTCCTCATTAGATTAACAAAATCGCCACAGTCCCCTCACCCAATAAACTGGATGCCAGAATGTCTGCAAATGACACCAAAACATGGCAACCCTGACACCAGATACTTTTACGACCTCATGGAATATGAGCAGGGAAAAGCACTTTCATAAGGAAAATCCCCAAGGCACAGTAGGAATGGACTTTTCTACTAATTAATTCATAGGAAAAAATTTATTTGAATGAACACACATAGCCTTCAAGTCATGGTGTATATTATTGTCATTGTGTATTTTGTCTTTGAGATGGTATACTGTTTTACGCAGGCTTCGGATCGAAACATCCCTTCCTGTCATCTTACATATATATAACCCTACCATGTTTAGTATCTATGAATTAGTCTTCTGATGATCTAAACAAGCGTGTATATTATATGTTGGTACATAGGCAATATATATTAGTGTCCTGAGAATCTTTAGTAATTTCGACTCAAATCCATTTGCAAATTACCATGGTTAGAGACAAAGGGTCATAAAGCCCTCCAGCAACTGCCACCTCCCGCTTGGAATTTCTGTATCTCTCATTGGACAAGCCCACCTTGAGAGGCGTGACTCTTCTCCGACCTTAAAGGCCCACACCAGGGACCCTCTGGGAGTCGGTGGTTTGTTTTAATTATGAGAGGATGTGAGAAAAACGCACCCGGAAACCCTAAGCTCGTGCCGTTGACCCTGAGAGGTCAGCTAAATATCTACAGCGGATCTAAAATATTCATAATTAATTATAACTAGTTATGATTAATTATTCATATTTCCTCATGAGCTGATTCGTTACACTGTGTGTCTAAAATATCTGTGACTGTATCATAGCACTGAACTCACAGTGATTTCAGAAAAAACAATGATATCTATGGATATGGAAATATCACAGCACAATTAAGAGTTAATCTATTAAAATCACATGGGCTTGCTAATACAATCGCGCACACACAAAATCAATCTTGCGTACACAGACACACATGCACACACACACACACACACACACACACACACACACAGCAATCCTAATGTAATTCATTAGTGGTGTGTAATGGATTACAGACTTAATGAAGGATGATTCAGCCATACCAAT